TTGTAGTAGGATAGGCCATAGTCTATAATGCTACTGCTTCATTGTTGATTAGTATGAAAAAAAATGTCATAAAGAGGTAGGTTTAACTTTTGAAGCTATGTGTAGCTGATCTTTAATTTACTTCTGCACATATTTAGTTATTCAGTTTATAGCAAATAAAAATTGATCACAGTTTGCAAAGGCAGTTCACAAGTATTCAGAAAGATCTTCATTTAATAAGATAAATGCAGTTACCAAGGGTCAGAAAAGGCCTGTTTTTTTAAGGTACTGATGACTTGTGAGGGCCTCCATTATGGAGCCTCAAGAGATGTTTTTATTTTGAGGAAGTACTCAACACTCACTTCCTGAAAAATGGAGCTTGGCTTTGCTGTTTTTTATTAATTATCCAAAAATCGTGATTCCAAGCTATTAATGAAACTTTAGCAAGAATTGTGTCATTTCCGGGGGTCCTTATTAAATGTGCATTTTGGTTCAAACGTGGAACCTATGAAAACCTGTTAGCCTAAGCTAAATTCCACATTGTCACATTAAAGCATTTATACAATGGCAGTCTTCTAGAAATGACTGGATAAGAAAAAAGATTGAAAAATAGCTGAGCTTTAGTGCTAATTTATTCACCAGTCCTGAGTGAGGATGAGGAATGAACAGACACAATATGATTATAAGCATTTGAAAATCGGCAGAATTCTAATAGAGCTGGTTGAAACTTTGTGTATGAGTTTTTTTTCCTAACAAGGGGAAAGACTTATATAGCACTGTAACTGCAGAGCTGGTTAAAAAAAAAAATCATTCTGAGCCTTTATTTCTGTTTGGATTATTTTAAATAGGGAAATTTGAAAAACAAGCTGAAAAAAATAGAATCTTATCATTCTTCATCTCTCCCTAATGAATAAATGGTCTGGTTTGTCATACCAAAGAGCACACGCTGTTGTTTTCTCAAATTAGTGAGCTCCTGATGAAATTTATACCTTGGTCCAAGCCCTATAAAAGTCTAATGTCTTACATAAGTGCTAAGTTAAGAATTCAGCTGAGGCATAAATTGGTGCATTGGCTTTGTATCAGCCGTTTGCATTTGGGTGAATTTTATGCCCTGCCTGAGGGAAGAATGTGCTTCAGCTTATACTCTGGAGCATTATGATGAGCTGCAGAGTGATCCATTTTCTGTTCTCCCTACTTTTTAAAAATAGCAAATGTTAAAGCTAACAGGTTAGGGATGTTACCTAGTAGGTGTTAAAACTGTTGGAAAAGAAACTGACTTTTAGACTGAGGAGGAGATGGCAACTCCCTGGGGGACAAAATACGTTAGCATTGTGTGGGGGGGTTTTTTTGTCCTTTTTTTCCTGGCTGTTGAAACATCTCCTGTAGCTTTGTGTTTTATACAGATCGTTATCTGCAATAAGTAGATGGTCCACACAATGCTCTGTGTGCATGTGTATGCGTCTATAAATAAATACACTCATAAAGGTCCCTCTTCATCAATGCTGTTCACCCCTCTGTGTAATTCTGTTTAAGCTATTACTCCACTTGAACCATTTGTCAGTGAAAGGAAGTGCCTGCAGAGAAGTGATACGTTGCTATATAGCTCCTTGCTGTGAAATGTTGATTTTAAAACAGGGTGGCAGCCTGCTGCTGACTCCCTAATAAAAATGAACAGACATGTTTTAGGAGGTTTTGGTTTTCTTTTGTTATGCCCATTTTCAGGAATCTTTTATTGTCTTTCAGTTATTCCTGCTCAACAATAAACTCTTTATGTTTGGTCTTTTTCCCTCTGGGAGTTTGGATTTCTTTCCTATTTGCATTTCTACATTTTTAAGCTGTGACAGCCATCATATTATCTGGTTACTAGCTAGTTGGGCAGGTGTGTGGTGTTTTCTCTTAAAATGGATAATATTAGCACTGAAATTTGGTGAGCTGTTCAGTGGTTATCCTCCATTTCATAGACTGAAAGCACCAACAAGGATATTAATGCGAGAGCATAGGCTGGTGAATGAAACAAAAGCAGGTCAGCATAAACTAAATGGAAATGAAGTGGGAAGAAACTATATTCCCATTCTGAGTCCATTTATTAAGACATGTGAGGTTTAAAAGCAGATTGGGATTTGAAGTGAAAGACTGGCTAGGGTTCAACTGTCGGCCAAACTGACTTCAAAAGTCAGATACACCTACGTATGGTTAAGTACTGCTTTTTACGTATGTTTTGCATTTTTCTAAAAAATTAGTTATTGCAAAGTATTTGAGCTATGAAAGTGGGAGGTAGCTTCAGAGCAGATTTTTGCTGAATAAAATGTATTTTTTCCCGCTTCACAAAAAACTAAGGCTTATGTTTAGGAAAGATCTTCCTAATGCAGACTTTACATCAAGCTGGTAGATACAGTTGCGCTCACTAGTCCTCCCAGATCTTATAAGAATTAGTGCATTATTGGGTGGGATATATTTAGTTCCATCTTAGGTTTAAGACAGCCAGACACACTGAGCTAATGAGCATTAGCACATAATGAGTTAGTAAAGAGCCATTTGCACATTAGTGAAAAGTTCTCAGGGACCTGACCCACACTATCACTGCAATATTTCAATTTGTTTTTAAAATGCTTGTCTCAGTAGGCACAAATATATTCTGATTAAGGTACAAATACTGTTGGTGCAGGAGAATTACTGGAAATGTTGATATACGAGTTAAATAATATTAACTTTGCAATAATATTTAAATATAGGTAGCTCAGACCTGAGGGCAAGTCTGCGTTCCGTATACCTGCAGTATAGGTCTGAGCACTTAGGCACTGATACCTTCCATGTCTGCAGTAACAGACACTTACTTTACTACTCCGTGAGAAAATGTAAATCTTGGAAGGTGGCTTCTACCGGTCCGTTGAGCAGACTTATGCCATTACTGCATTTCCAGGATAGGTCATACAGAAATAGTTTTAGCGTTGCTTGCAAAATATAGTGAGATACCTGACTGCATCTTTGCTGACATATTAGGACTATCACCATCGGTCAAGAAAATCAAAATTCTAATCTTGTTTTCTAAGTGCTCATCAAAACACTTGTCTCAGCTTAATATGACCTGCTTTGATATGGCCTTCAAGGTCATTTAGTCAAAGAGTGTGATGGGGGTAATAGGTAATCTTTCTGTGGAACAGTTCAGTGAAGACTCAAAGATGATACTTGCACCATGATTCTTGCACGTGGGTCCCTGGTAGATCTAGCTTCTCTCTCCCTGCAAATAGTCCTGATTTTCCTTATATTTCTGTAAACTAGTTCATAAAAAGGCTGCCTTAAGCATACAGTATGCAGCAAGAGTGAATGAACTCACTATAAAATAGATTTACCTGTGCCTGAAGAATTAGTTAATAAAGAACATTTGTTTTAATTTCCATTACCTACCCTACATTTACAAATTATATTTCCTGATTAATGACATCAGGAGTTGAACTTTGGCTTTTAAAGCACCAGACACATGCTGTGCTGTAGACACATTTACATTCCATTTATGCAAGGCGTCCAATTAAAAATTACTCATAGAAAGTATATAATACACCAGAATGAATACATTATTTCCCCTATTAATCTACTTTCTTTGCTTTTCAGCAGAAGTGACCAACCTTTCACTTACCCCAAATGGGAATTCATGTCAAAAAATCCTGAAATAGGAAGCAAAAATAGCGGAAAATTTTCCAGGCTGAATTAGTGAATTATATTTCTAAAATAAAGAACTAGGAAAATAAAAGCTTTGCCTTTTATTTTGCTTATATAATTGCATTTAAAAAATGAAAAGAAAAAGGTCTGATCCTACACAGCAGTGCTTCTCCCTCCTGTCAAGAGAAAAAAGTCACAGGATTGAGCTGTCCCTGTCACAAAATAGCCCATTCCTCACAGAAAGCAAGTCATTCAATAATATCAGCATGAACTACTTTAGGGTTTCTTTTTAAAGATAACGAGAAAAAATTATCAGGCACTTTCCAAACAGAGAAACACAAAAAATAACTCACAAAAGCTCTCTGGCCTATTAGGGCATACAGTATATTCTTATTAAGCAAGGAAACCATTTTCATGCAGCACCCATGAAGACTTTATTGTCAGATCAGAGAGTAATATGCATAACAACTCTTGCAATTCCTCAGCTCTGAGCTGTGCTGCGTAATGCATCCCTCGTGCCCTTTTGCACCTGAAGGATTAATGGAGCAACTTCTGCAGAACATGCTTTGCATGTAGGTAGTGTTAGCCTTTTCTGCCACATGTTGACTTTCTTGCAGGCTTTCTTACAAGCAGCACAAGCCTGAGTGTGGCTCAGTTAGTCTTCAGTAACAGCAGCTAATATTAATAACTCTGCAAATGAAAAGGCTATGCTTGCTGTTTGCTGGAACCACCAGATGCATTAAGTCAGCATGAATGTGTATCTTCACCGGTAGTCTGTGAAATTTTGCCAACTTTTGCATAGGGTTAATGCAGTAAGTAGACAGAAAAACCATGGTATAGTATTTGAAATTTTCCATGCTTCCACATGAAAACAGTAGATGGCAGCAAGAGAGACAATGTACAACCAAATCCCCTTTTTTGCCTTCTTTGCTTTAATGGATGGGCTTTGAATTATATATTGGCTATCATATTTTCTGGCTGGTCATGAAAATATGAGAGACGGAAAACTGCCTTTTCTTTTAAGCATGTGATCTCAGTGTCTGTGATCTTCACCCTGGAAAGGTATTTCATGGCCCAAGTCTCTCAGGCCTGGCCCTGTAGTATCCCTTGTCCTTTTTTATGGTTCGCAATGCTTGAGAAATCATACTAGAGAAAAAGGAGAGTGCCCAGAGCAACTCAATCTTTCCATTTGATTTTACATAAAATGTTGGTAAACAGAAAAATTTCTCCCTCTAAAACATGCTTCTCAGTCAAAATCCTTCAGCTGTGAGGGCCGCAACTCCAGGTGTTTATTGCCGGACATGGAGAATGCAGCTGTGGCTCAGGGAAGACTGGACATAGGATTAAAGAAAATTTCTGCCTGAGCATCATGAGAGAAAGGAATGGAGTCACTGGTAAAGGGACAGCTTTTCAAAGCGGAAAGAACTTTATTCAGAAATGAGTATTGCTGAATGTAAGTTGGTGAACTGGCATTAAAAACAAAAATTTAATTTACATTCCGGGTGCTCATGATTTCATTCTTTAAACAGTAGCTGGTGAAAGTATTTCCTGGTATTTCCACAGGTAATTCAGAGCATCAGCCTTAGGTTCTGCAGTTCCATCTCTGTTGAGGCATAAAACGTACAGACTGAAGGAAGCACAGCTTAAACGTTGAAAGGAGCAAGTTTCCAGTAGGGCTGCATAGCTGAGGAGAACAGGTATTTTGGGACAGTACAGCATCACATGTAGAAAAAATGTCACGAGTTGACCAGTCCTATGACATTATAAACACTGTCCTTTCATATATTGTTTGAGCAAGTTCCCAGATTCTTTTACTTTGATGGACATACTTACGTGAAGTTTTTTCTCACTCTTCCTGTACATTATACTCTAACTAGGCAGATGCCAAACGCTCTGCAGCTTCCTTTACACCTTTCTGATCAGGCAACTCGGTGCTCTTCAGAGCCACTTAAAAAAATGTTTGTCTCTTTACTCTGCTAACTCCTTCAGCATGTGCTTTACTACTATGGGATATGGAGATTTTTTTGGCCCAAACTGCCCTGCCTGGTTGACTGCCTGCAGCAGTTTCAGTTCACAACTGCTAGTGATTTTTTTTGAAGGGTCCTTGTTTCAGATTTAAATGCAAAAAATTTGTGTGCCCCCCTGGTGATTTCGAAGTTACAGCGCTCTTCCTGTTGCTGCGGTGGCCTTTTAAAGGTTTCCTTGCTCTTTCTGTATCTCTGCATGCTTTGACTGAAGTATGCATGATAATGAATGATATTCCTTTTTGGAGTAAAAGATGCACCAGACTTAAGCTTTATTGGCTATATATATTATTTTTCTCTGCCAAATCAAAGCGTTTAGAGATGTCTCCAGCTTTGCTTCATAAGGGAAAAAAATTGCAAGCTGTTTTATATTTTACTTTTTCAACCCTTAAAATTTAAGTGTTCTTTGTACAAAGACTGTCAAAATGGAATCTTGTTGGGAGAGGACAGGTTGCAGCATAGGAAAGGGGCGGTTGATCTATTTCCCTTATTTTTCCTTTTTTTCGATATGATTGCTACTATATTTTGTGCTTTAGGTGCTTAAGGTAATGTTCAAAAGAGATCTACAGTGAATGCATTTTAATCATGTCCCTCCCTGCCTACGTCAGCCCTTCAGCGTGCTTCAGAGCTGTGAGTAACAGAGGGATTGTCTATACTGACTATATACCTGGTGAGAAGATAAAACTATTTCCACTCGTTCTGCAATACCACATCACAAGACTAGAGTGGATCAAAGGGTGGAATCTGCCTGAATTGTTTACCAATGTGGAAGAAGGGGATAAGGTAAGTGATGAACAACTAGTCCCCTGGTTATGAGAGCACTGTAAAGCAAAAAGCCAAATGGAAATGGCAAAAGGCATCAACCGGCAATAGCGGACGTTAGTTATTAGTCCAAATGAAAATGTTACCACTCAAGGATATCAGGTAAATGAAATAGAAAAGTTTAGTTGTAGTGACAGGTGTTTGAAAGAAAAAGCTTTCAAATTATTCTAGCATGTTCCACATTAGTAGAACAAAGTAGCTGATCTTAAGGACTGCAAAAAATTTAGACTGAAACTAATAGAAATGAATCAAATGACAAGAGAAATCCAAGACAGCAGCAACTGGAACAAAAATCATGGAGGAGAACTTATTAATTACGCCTGATGCATAATGATGAGGCATAATGATACAAAGAACTGAGCAGCCTTTCTCTAGCAGACCTGGGGTCAATTCAGCCATCCTTTTCTTGTTTTCTGTGCCTAGCAGTCTAGATTCGCAAGAGGAATATTGCTGAAAGTATACCATGTTCTTCAAGCAGCGTGTGAAGAGTTGCATTTGAGTCGCCTTTGTGTGTAGGTAGAATAATGATGCAAGGGCATATCAAGGGCTACTGTCCTTCCCCTAAATCCAGAGAGTAGCTGGTGGACATGTACCAGTTTCTTACTCTTCATTGCATAAATACCTGCACTAAGCAAAATCAAAACACTACCCTACTCCAATAAGAGCGCTTTGTACCCATTCCTATTCAGTTTGCTCTCACATAAATAAATGCAGGCTAGTGAGAATACTGGGTCAAGAATATGCCTCTCACAAAGGGAGGAAAGCTCCATGATTCATAAAGAGACTTTTACTAAAAATAGGCATTTGTCATCAGGACTAATTTTCTTCTAATAAACCAACCTTTTTTAAAATATGAACTGTTTGCTGTAAATGCTAGTGGAACTGCTTTATAGCTGGAATGTAAGACTGTGAAATGAACACAGTTTGAATGCGATGTGAACATGCAATATGAATAAAACGCTTTTGGTGTACGTAAAATTGGCTGCACTTTATTTTTCTCAGCACTCTTTCTCTGCTCAGTTCCTGTGTCGTCTATACTAGTTATTTAAACGAATTTGGTCTAGATCTCATCTGAGAAAAGCAAGGAGGGCCATATACATATGTTAGGAGAAAAAAATATATTTCCATTTTAGTATTCCTATTCCTATTCCTGATAAATGATTGCAAGTACAATTTCTCCTCTTCTGCAGAAGAATTTGAATCACCACTGGAATGCATGTGGTGAGCAGAGAAACTGTCAGCAGTGAAGCCCCCAATCAAAAAGAGTGGCTAGTAGTTTTAAGACTGCATTCTGGCTTGGATTGATTTTGTGGTGATGTTTGGTTTCTTGCCATTTTTCTAGAAAATATAAGAATCAAAGAAGAAAAATTGCATTGATTGGCTCAGGTCTCGTTTAAAACTATATTTATGCCTTCTAATGTAGCTTAACATTTTACAGATGGCTTGCTTCTTGTTAAAGCTGGGGACGCATGTAGATTGAATTATCAGCAGATTAGAACCAGCTGCATTTAGTTCACAATTTTTTGTGCGTATTCTGTCCAGCAGAATGCACAGAGCAGACTCTTGCTATACGAATTCTGTTAAATGCCTAAACAAGAACCCATAGAGATTAATAGAGGGTCTGACTCTATTTAATGCTGGTTACCTTTTCTTCAAAGCAACCACGCTGTACGTGAGAGAGTTCGTGTGTTCAAGGCCATAAATTCCACAGAACAGGGGCTTCTCTTTGACTATGAATTAAGAGTAAAGTGGATCGGATCCCCAAAATTTATATAAATAGAACTAGAATCCATCCCAAAATCAGTAGGACATGCGCAAGACAATGGAAGTGACTTTTCAGTTTCCTGCCTTACATTTTATGCACTTTAATAAAAGGGATTTGGAACGGTATGATTCCAATTTTGCAATGTGTTACACTGACTCTGCCCATTTCTAAATGACTAGACCGGATGCAAAATGATGAAGAATAAATACAGGATTGATTTGCTAGCAAATGTATCCTTAATTGTTTACCCCTGTAAGTTCTGAGTATCAGAACTATTTCATGACGTTTCAGGACGCACAAAACCCTGTGGAATGCAGTATTAAAACAGACCATTAAGATTTTCATTGGCAGATTGGATTTACCACAACTTATTAAATTTATTTAAAGCTCTTTGAAGTTGGTAACAAAAGAGCACTTAAATTATATTAAAATGTTACAAATATACTTTTTCTTATTAGTAACGATTCAAATACCAACATCCACACCTGCAGCAATTTTTTTTACCTTTGGCTAGGTAAAAAGAGCTAATTTGCATAGTATTAATACAACCCTACTTTGTTCTATTTTAGGTACTTAGGTTCATTACCCATGAAGTATTCTGAAAAAAAAGGGGGAATAAATTGTGGGTTACCGCCCCTAAGTCTTCTGTTACTGATGTTCTCTTACACTGAAATGATTCCAGATACTTGGCTGTAAGGAAAATCATTTGCTGCAAAATTCAGAATCCTTGTGCCAAGTTAATCTCTTTTTGCATATATGTCTTAGATTTAAAATGCATTTTTAGCGATACTTAGTAAGACTAGTTAATATTTCTAGGGGTGATTTTTGCCAAATGTATTGCATGGGATAATCTCACCAGAAGTAGTTCAGGCTTACTAGGAATAAGCACTTTATATTTTTATTAAGTTCAGTGGATGTTTCTTTGCAGAACTTTTTTCCTGAAGCAGGTCACTTAAGTAAAATAAGCGTGCTTCTGCTATGCAAGTTTTTCCCCTAATCTTGAAGCCCCACTGCAGAATACCCTGATGTTCCTGAGAAATAAGGCTTTGTCTTGAAAACAGAGTCAAATGAATTATTAACTTCTCGCACGTAAGGTTTACGGTGTGACCCAGGCCCCTGAAGCTGAGTGGTATTTTGCATCAGTTATTATACTTGTATGATTTTTACTAAAAAAATGTTGCTATAATCTTGTGCTTATGTGCTTGTATATCAAAGGAAAATATGAAGCAAAGTCTTAAATCAGTCTTCATTCTGTCTGTGTAGGCATTCTTTGTGGATTGCTTTGGAGCTCTATAGGTCCACTCCAGTTAAGGCTCTCTCCCTGCGTTTTTTGCTAATTCGCTCTTCAGTGCTCGACAGGATTGAGTACAACTTGACTTGCTGCAACGAATTCCAGTGAAAAGCATTATTGAACTCCCAGGAGATTCTTTTCTGGAAGTCCTTCTTATTTTTCCTACTGAATATTAGTTTAAAGGCAAAATGCTGCTCTTGAAAATTCTCAGCTCTAATGAAGACGATTGGAAAGCATTTAGGCTCAGAGTTCGAAAACAGCCTGAATGCTTGTGCAAGGAATGATTTCTGAGTATGGAGCTCTAGTTTTTGCTTGCTAGCAATTTCTACCGGTTTTGATTGGGTGCCTATTAAATTCCTGATCACCTCTTACCAGACTTCTGCTAGCAGATTAAAGTTAGCTTATGGAAGACTTTACAATATATATATGTTTTTCCTCTCTTTCATTTTGTTCCTTTGTTAGTTTGCGTTCAGCTCAGCTTTTCAAGCTTACCTCACAGCAATAAGGAGTGGAAATTACTTTTTTTAGCTGAAATTCCCTTGTAATCAGATCTCGTATTTTCAGAACTTCAGGAAACACTTTTATTTTCATCATGAATTTTTCAATATTAGCAGATTATGACAAGAATAATAATATGATATATAATAATACATGGATCCTATTGTATTTTAAGGAAGTGCCCATTCTATGGTATTATATTGTATATTTTTACAATATATTTTAATAAAAACCTATAATTGAGCTTTATAGTCTTTTGTGAAGTGTTGATGTTTATCTCATAAAAAAGCAGTGGCTAAACCATTAGACCTCCAGAGAGCTGCAGCAGTTTTCAGGAGCAGAAAATGCTATATACGTTGTTTCTGTGCGGAAATGATCGTAACGCAGCTTCCATTGCTAGAAGTGGTGCAGCCCTAACATTTTCAAAAAAATACTTCTACTGAAGTAATAGATCTAATATTACATTTGACTGCACAGCACGCAGGCAGAGGGGGCATGTTATCAATTGATAAGGACTAACCTGGGACTGAGAAGATTTAAGTTCTTTTTCAACCTCTGCTGCCCAGTCCTTGGGGGGCTCTGAGCGAGTAACTGCTTCGTGTCTGGATCAGACAGAGGGACTCCCTTACTACATGGCATCAAAGGGGTCCTGTTGCTGTAGTTATTCAAGTACTAATGAGAGTACTGCATGAAGTTCTTGCAGTTGAAAAGTAGTCAGTAACACTCAAATTCATTTTAAGTCACTGATGTGATATTAAGAGGAGATATTCTGAACATAAGAGTTCCTTTTCCAGCCTTTAAAAAGCAAATAGATTTAGGGAAATAATCTTTCTGATTTATGTTTGTTTCCTTCCAGTTGCGATACAGTTAATGCAGATTACAGAGATGCAGGAGAGAAAAACTGTACTGAAAATTTTAGCCTAGTCTGCTAACATAAAGTAGGAATGAAACATTTTAAATAACCAGAAAAGACATATTAAAGTAAACTGTCTAAGCCAGCTCTTCTTCCATTTACTTGCCAAGATTGGAAGCCTGGTTTCATGTTGTGTTGTGTGCACTAACCACTTGGGATACTGTCACCTAATATCCATCCACCTTGCAAAACCTGACTGAAAAGGAACGCAAACCCAAAGGATTCATATGAGAAAATAATTGTGCAGGAAGGTGTCAGTGAACATAGGTTCACTTTTTGAATGCAAACCACATTTCTACTGCCCCAGTTTCAAGACTTGCCAACATCTTCAATGTGAATACCAGATAGTAACAAAAAGGGATAAGTCCAATGTCCAAACCAGTAGAGGTTTAGTTATAAAATAAGGTGTGACATGTAATGATTCTGTGGCCATCTTTCTTTTTTTCTGTCTTTTCAGGGGCAGGGGGTAAATCTTGGCCACTGCACATAAAGTTTTCTGGAGTCTGCACAGATTATAGATGGTTTCTTGATGAGTGTGTATTTCTGAGATGTCTTATTCTGGCTGTGGATTCATCGATTTACTATGCCTCTAAGACTAAGGCCTAACTTGGTACAAAGGCATTAGACATAGGCATTAGACATAAAATTATCAGATGTAAACCGGTAAAGTCACAGACAAAGAGAAGAATCAGTAGAAAGCAACAAACATTAGAGGAAGCATTGACGTGGAGGAAACTGGTGCTCTGAAGGAGGCAAGCAAGGCTGCAGTATGCTCATTTCTGTGGCAGCAAGGCTATGTCCATTTTCCAGCCGATGCTGTGACACACATGCAGCAACGCTGGTGAGAGGAGCATGTGAAAGCTAGCACGCGAAGGCAGCGGGGAGCTGCAGGTGAGGTGGAGCCAGCATTAGAGCAGAGAAACTTACATCTCTGCTATCTGAGGTGGTAATTCTGGATCCTCCATTGAACTTCACGGTTCTGAAGATATTTATTCCAATAAGCTAACATGAGCACTGGTTTCTTTTTTACAAATGCCTGAAAATAAGAACAAAAAAAAAATCTGTAAGTTCTTTATAGAAAGCCTGAATGCTTTTTTTCTCAAGGCCCGACTTTTGTAAGGTTAAAACGGAAAACCCTTGATATAAATATGCTTGTGAAACTGTATGGCTCCATGTAGCTTGATTCAAGTTCACCGAGATCACTGACAATTTTTTTGTATTAGCTTAAGTGGACTTTGGACAGGACCTTCTAAAAACAAAATGTCTGGCACTCTCAGGAGAACAGGTGGATGAATAGATAACTAAGTAAAAAAAAATGAACTTACGTGTATTTACTGTGGACAGTTGCAAGCAAAATCCCACTATTTTAACCTCATACAGCCTTTGTTACGTGCTGGCATTCTCTGGCACTGACCGCTTGTTATTTATCAGTCGTAACCCACCAGCACTGCTGTATGAGGAAGAATTGGCTGTGATTGATGCGGACAACATCTCTGGCGCATGGCCTTGCACGAGAATATCCCGGGGAAGTCAGGGACATTCGATGTGAAAATGGACTCAGGGCTGGCTACTGAGCGTCACCCTCAAATTGTGGTACTTATTTGAAATAAGTGTGTGTGCCTCTTCATCGTCTCTTACAAAAGAAGGGCAAATTTGCGTAAGAATAATAAGAAAAGCAAAGTTACCGAATATGGCACAACACCCTCTACCTGTGAATGTGATTTTTAAATGTTTCTCGGATCAGTTAAAAATATCAGGTAAGCAATTAAAGAAATATCGCTTAGTGTTATTTATTAAAAATCAATTAAGACATAAGGAGATTCTTGAATAACTTATATGAACCAAAAAACGAGGGCTGTGTCTAGCAGACAGGAAGCACACAAGAACAATATTCATGCAAAGAACATTCCTGAGCCATACCATGTTGCCTATTCACTTAACCTTTTCTGCTTTGCTGCTCTGGAAAGGACTGAGCCTACGTCCAATGAAAATGTGACAGACTTCCATTTAATTCAGCAACAAAACTCTCCTTTTATTTCACCCATGCTTACCACTATATTTCTGAATAACTCATAAAGTAAAAACTATATAGAATGGAAAACAGGCTTTCTAGAAGCTTTCTAGAAAGGATAGGAAACAATCGCGAGCATTTCCAGTAGCTCTTTTGTGCATTGTTGATTTTCCAACTACTTGCACTAAATTGACTGGCATCAACTGCAGTCTTTTCTTTTGTTGATGGATTGAGTAAGTTTTGAATTAGGCCATATAGTTTCACTTAAAAACATGATTAAGGATGAAATCTTGATTTCTGTGAAGTCAATGACAAAACTACAATCTTATTTAAGTGTTTATGCCTGCTATTGCAAAGATAACCTTCCATCAGGAATTCAATTCAATTTAATTCATACAATTATATTTCTGTGTATGTAATGACTAATGCTTCCCATTGCTATTTAAAAGAGATTTCAAAGTCTGTACAGCCATGTTTGCCTGCTTGCTGGAGAGACATATTTCAGAAAAATTTACCAGGACGCTATATGTCCTAATGGTATTATTTTTGACTTTCACTGTTTAAATTTAGCTCTGGGTTTTTTTCTGCCTTTTTTTTCCTCTTCCCAAATCTGCCAAGTTAATGCTGAGATTGCCATCAGCTGTCAAGATAATCTGACTCTAAATCTGCTAAACACAGACGGAGTTTTGCGTTTCAGACATTGTGTTGTGGACATGCAAAAAATTAACAGCAAATGAATTTAACGTCCACCTACTAATCTGTGTTAGTTTAATTTATTTCTCTTCCTTTCTTCCAGGTGCTTACTTGTGCTGGAAAATCATTGTGACTGAGTCTATGCCATGGAGCTGAATATGTAGCAAATGCAACTTTTCTGGGTATGTTACTAAGGGAGTAATGACGGTATTCTGCAAGTGAGGTTCTCAGTCGCTTTCACCGCATGCATGAATAGCTCTATAAGAGGCAGATTCCTTCACAGTCCTCAAACTTCCCCACCCCTATTTCCAATTACAGTTCTAACTGTAGTTGGTGGCACACATAGTATAGATTAAAATGATATCACAGGGACCTTAGGGTTTCTTATTCGTCTTTCCTTCCTTTTAAGGGGTCATGACTGAAGTCACAACTAAATGCTAGGTATAAATTTCCAGTGCCTGTTTGTTTGCTTTTAATATCCCTAGTGATTCTTGCAGTCCTTTCTGTGGCGTTATTCTGCGAGCAAAAGTGCTCCTCTCTCTCTGCTGGCTGTCGACTCATCAGTTACCTATTTTTTTCATATCTTCTTTCAAAACAGTGGTTCACTCCTCATCGGGCAGTACCAGTCAGAATCTGTCCGAGAAATATTTTGAAACACGATATAGTTTGTCTTTAACAGCACAATTTTTTTTTTTCATTGGGAACCGCAGTGAGTTAAAGCAAGATGCTGCATGAAGACATGTGTATGACTTTGTGGAAAGCTATTGCTGGATTCCGGGTTGGATTATGGAGTTTTGAAATAGCACTGCTACCTAGAAAAACTCTGTCCCATTTCATATTCTAGAGCACTGTGTCCCTAGTAGTTCACGTTATCTAAGCCCCTTACCTTCTCAGCCCCAAAGACGGTTTCTACAATAAGACAACTAATGGTAGTGAGATTGTTATATCACTGTAAAATATAGGTGAAGAAAAGGCACTGTAAGTATCAGTGAAGAAAAGGCACTAGCTAGTTTTACTCTCTGTTTTTTAAGACAGGATCAGACCTGTAAAATACCTACTAATGACTAACTTTACCTCCTTTACCCTTTCAGTGTATCTTCAATGCTTTGCTTGCCCCACAAAGTTTATGCAAGGGAGATCAAGCACACAGCAGAAATATGCCTTTCTAGCACTAGAGATGAAACACTGGGCTCTTTTCATTGCACATTAGCTTTCTCATTTTGAAAATGAAATGGAAGTACAGCACTGAACATTTACTGCTGGACAGCAAAGATGAGGTCAGCCACAGGTAAGTGGTTTCATACTGAACCCTCCTCAATACCTGTGGTGAGTACTACAGACGCCTTGTTTTCATCTAGGATATAGGGTGAGATATCAATTTAGTTACCAGTTTTAGTTCAGTTATCAGGCATTTCTCTGCACACCACCCTTTCTTTTTCCCTCCTGCCAATCTTGATGTCATTGAAGACAACATCTTAGCTTTTTGTATTCATAAAAAAGCTACTACTTTGACTTTAAAAATAGAGTAAGGTACATTTGTGGTACATTAATGCATTTATTATGCATTAGTAATGTCCAAGCAGGAACCTAGCGCAGAATAATTAGTGTTCTATAAATTCACAGGCTCTGTTACTGCACAATATCCCCCTGTATAGTGAAGCCCTAAGCATCAAATCTCCATGAGCTTTTTTCACTACCAGATCTTCTATCTAGACATGCTAAGAACTCTTTGCTTAGCTTTATTTTATATATTTAGCATTTCCCTAAAGCTCCCATTTCCAAGATTTCCTTTTACATATAGATGTCTTCCAAATCCTTCTGAGTGTAGATGTAACCCTTAACCTCATTTTAAGGCAGATCTGTCTACAATGACAAAGTGCTATATAGTTATAATAAGACAAACAGATAATATTACCTGGCATGCAAACATGTTACCTGGCATACAAGGCTGGGAAGACAATGGTTAGATAAAATCTTTCATTGTGCTTTGCCTTCCTGATGTCATAATCATGCCAATGAATTCCCTGAAACAGCCACCCTGACAACAACCTAATTTTTATTCTCTTAATCCACTGTAGAAGGTCTGGCTAAACAATAGATTCCTTGTGCTTGCTCCCATGGACAAATAAGTGAGACCAATGTGATGTCTGCTATGCCAGTTAATACTGCATTAAAAATCACTGGAACCTGGATCCACCTCTGGTGCATGCAAATCTAAGCATGTTTCAGCAGCCCATATTGTGCAAGCTAAGCTATGTATTTATTTGTACTTACAATGCAGTTATCATTTTCCCCCGATAGGTTCTTCTTGCCCATAGGTTGTGAACATACGCTCTGTTCAAATTATTATGAAGAACATGTTTTACAAGAAATTTTTCTACGCTAGCAGAATAACTGCAGTTGTTATTTGAATTATGTGATCTGGAGTTTTGATCTGGATGCACCAGTCATACCACTTACTTCTGTTTTATGACTGATTGGGTGCAATTCTTGGAGCTTTTTTTTGAATGGTCTTATAAATTGTACCTTTCTATTGTTTTAAGGTCTTGTGTTTGGATTTGTTGAGCTTCCTAGAAAACAAAATAAAATTCTCCTCCTTCCATGCTGGTATCTTTTGGAGAATTCAGTATTCTCTTCTGTTAGCTCTTGGAAAGTGGTATAATGTGTTCAAACTGAGGGAGCGTTTTCTTTCTTTGCGTGCTCTGCTTGTCAGCATTACATTACCTTTGACTTTCCATATCTCCAAACTGTTCCTCAAGTAGCTTGCATTCACATTTCAGTGCGCTGCCCTCTTTACAGTTTTAAAGTTGTTATGGGGAGGAGGTAACAAGTTGTTCTCTCACAACGATATTTCTGCCTTGTCAGTCACAGTCCTTCATGGCCTTTATACGTAACCTGAAAAAGCTATTATTCTCCCTGAGAGGCAATGGTATCAATTATTCATCTTTAGCTCAGTTTCTCTTCCTTTTCCATGTCATCACTGAGTATTTTCAGTTCTAAAATATACTGCAGATGTGAGAGGTGGACTTCTGCATAGACAGACTTTCCAGTGCAAGGGGGTCATTTGTGTATCAGCTCTTGGCAGTTATTTGTTTTAGCAGTGCCAGTCTGACATCTGACTTGTTATCTAGCAATACCTGTGTAGGACATCATCTTGTCTCATCCTACCCAATTGTCTCTACAAACCCCATTTTTTCTCTTTGAAAATTTCTACAACAGTTGCTTTTGATAAGCAATCTTGAAAAGATGTATTTCTTGCAGAATGTTTTCAGAAAATGGATCCAAAAAGGATGTGAGCATAATGCAAGCAAATTTAATTACTGTTGGGAAAG